GTAGAATCTTCCCTCAAAATTATTGCTGCACCCATACCTGCTTCGTTACGCCTCCGGAATGCTACGGACGCCGTCAGTTGGTACGTGATGTGATTTTGTTTATACTCAAGATTGTCATGAGATTACGTTCCTGGTATGGCCTGCCTTAACTTTGCATTTTCATGCAAGAACATCGCGACAGTTTTCCCCAGAGCCTTTATTCTAAGGCGACTGGGCGACTGTCCAAGATAGGCTTCAGAAACACATCACCTCTTAGATATACCTGCAAGTAGGAGTACCGCTGGTCTTGGGGGGATGCTTGCATCCTTGTGTTGCCCGCCATTCCCGCCCCCACCCTCCCCCCAACTCCCCCACACCCCCACTCCTCCTTCCCCCGCACTTGTCCAGCCTTTTTCTAACTGAACAGTAAGACTGAAGCGTCTAGCCCAAGAACACAGCGCATGAACCAGATCTCCACTGTACGGCTATAGACACACGCACAAACCACTGAAGCCAAATAATTGAAATAATTAAATTACAAGAAAGCTGACTTATGCCCATATATTTTTCATCTTTTACAGTATGGAAGGCAAGATTTCGCGTGAGGTTACCGATGCGGTTCCACAGACAATTAACTAGCAGCAGGCATAAGCTAGTATTCTAGTTTCAGTAAAACGTGTAACTGTAAACTGAGCGTAAATAAACTAGTGAGTACAAGTTTAAAAAATACTAAATTCTGTGTCGTAACTTCTTCTTTTTCTTCGACGAATAGTGTGGTAATGTCTTTGTAAAGATAACACAAAGACAACACTCTGCAAACTTTTTGTGTCTGTGTGTGTTTCCCGTTCAGAACGTTATTCTTCGCTGTTATTGAATATTCGCAGTTTGTTTCATTTCGAAAGAGTTTCTCCATTCAGATGTTTCTAAATCGTAGTTTTCGTTACAGACGACTTTACCGCTGGATCTTGAGTTAGGCGCACAAATATATAACGAGACCAAACTGACATATGAAGCACTTATGAAGCATTTTTTTCGTCTTTTTGGTCACAGCCGTCACATATGGTATAGTTTTCAAAACATTTCTAAGTTTTACACATTGTGGGGCATTGTTCCCACTGGTTTGCCTGTGGTTTGAAAAGACGATTCAAATAGTCAGCGGAGGATTGATAAATTCAAAATGGCGCAGCACGACGCCTTGCTCGAGTGACCCCGAAGAGTTTAAGACGAAATCCGATAGACAATCGAGCAATTTCAGTTTTTAGTGGACAAAAATCTGGGTACCAGAATAATTTTCAGTATTTTACAGTCCTTTTTACATTTCTTAAAGCTGAAGATATAAAATAGTCGCCTGAAATAGTGATAGAAAATAAATTTCAAAGTTCAGAGAAATTGGGCAAACACAGGTAAAATTTCATCATCAGTTTCATCTCACCAGTACTTTCAAGTGTTTCATACAAAGTTCAACTGAACATTTGTTTTCGACGTTTGTTGTTGCTAGAAATGAGTTTTTTTGAGAACATATTTAAAACAGTCGTACAGAAGTTTGCAATACGATGTAAATAATCTTGGTACTAGGTTTTTGTTCACTTGTTACTAGAACTTCTGGTGGATTCCCTCTTAAATAGCACTTGAGGCAGCAGCCACAGTGGGTTGGAAACTATCCATACCAGATAGGGCTGAGATATCCCGACCGAGAAAAATAGAAATTAACCCCGCAGGTGCTAAGAACGTCCGTGGAAAATAGTGTTATTATAACACCTTTTTGCAAATTCAAAATTCATAATATTGATGGTTGGGTGAAACATGAACGGAAATAACAAAAAAGGTTGCAGCTCGTTTTAGCAGACTATTAAATGTTCAGGGGTCAAGAATCAGTGATAAAAGGTTCTTTGGTAAGGTAATTAACATCTTCTTGTAGAAAATATGAAACAATTTTGCAGATTTTGGAGCAACTTTTTGATTTTTGGGGCAACTGTTGAGCAACTTTTTGAAAAAATTTGGAGCATCTCAGGGGCGGCTCTATACGGGTGTCTGGAAAACCCGAATAGCGAATAGCGAATAGTCGCGAATAGCGAATAGTCCCGAATAGCGAAAAGCGAAAAGCGAATAGTACGAATAGTGCGAATAGTAGCGAACAGTTGCGAATAGTGGCAAATGGGGTGGGGATAGCGACGAATGACTGAAATTTTGGTACCCAGTGCCTCGCAATTAACCTCGCAGCAACGTGGGATTTGATTTTCCCGCTAAAAAGCATAGACGCTTAACAGGACAAAAGGTGTTTCTGAACGTAATTTCTTCTGTTTTCACCGCTGCAAAAGCGTAAATACGTCTTTATTAGGCTATCCTTGTGTTTTCTGTTTTCTTGATGTCAGTGATAGACAACCCTAGACTGAGTCCTGGGAAGAAAAGGTAATATAAATTCACTGAAATTCTGTTGCTTATTTGGATAATTAACGGAAGATATAGCTTAGGCGTTCTTGTTCACGGGAAGTTTTATAACCAGTTATCAGATCAGCTCGTTTGTGTCTTTTCAGTTGATAAACTAATCACAGACCACTTGTCTCACATTTGTACTTTATTGTTTTTTTTGTTTTTTTTGTTTTTTTCACAGATCGTGCTTTGTCGAATCTATTAGCGTCCGCAGAGAAACGCTATTGCTCCCTGTGATAAATTTCAACGGATCCAGATCAGTGCTGAACCAAAGTGGTGACTATTGACGACTGTTCCTCACCATTCGCACTATTTGGGACTATTCGTACTATTCGCTATCCGCTATTCGGGTTTTCCAGACACCCGCCCTATACACGTTTTCAGATCCTTATTAATTTGGTAGTAATATATAATTTCGTCCTTGTATTTCAACCACCGGTGATCTCGTAAGACCTTATTTGTTTTTTTTATTATTATTATTATTATTTATTTATTTTTTACTTGAGGATGTACAAAATCGTCCTGTTTCATGCATTTAAATTCCTAAGAACCTTGTATACGTTATTTGTAGCGAAGAGGTTTAGGGTACTCCCTTACATGGGCTATATAAGTATGTGCTGTTCCAAGATAGACTTTCTAAAAGTTCTTTCCAATAATTCATCCCTGGCCTGTTGGTCTCGCCGTTGGAAAGGACTTTTCCCACTTGCAGCGCGCCAAATTTTACCGGTGGATCTTTCCACCGGTGACGTAAATACACATTAACCAATGAACAAACAAGTACTGACTATACGTCATGACTTCGCGCGCGATCAACGACACAACTCGCAGAGCAAATGTTTGCTGAGTTCAAGTACCACAAAAATCTTTTTCATTCAGCTTTTGTCCTCGGATATGCTTAAGGATATGACGTTCATGGAAGCAATTGAATATGGTCTATCCAACTTAATTTCAAGTCTTTGAAAGAAGGACAGGGAAAAGCAGTGGAAGGCTATTCAGGCAGGTCTGAAATAGGGTACTGATTTAAGGGTTAGGTCTGTAAATAGGGTAGGAAAAATCGCAGATTTTCGATTGAAATAGGGTAAGGGTTTGGGGAAGCGGGCCGCACACCCCCACCAAGTTTTTCTCCCGGGAAAATAACCCAGACCGGCTTTTCTCTAAGCTGAGCTCTTTTTCGTCCATCTCAGTCAAACAAAAACTGATGAAAATTATTCATCGTGGGCATTCTTGCTACACCGTTTCCGTGGTAGGCGTGAATAGGTTTTGGGCAATTATGAAACTTATCAAAATCAACATCTCGTGAAAGACCGCGATATAACTGACGATTCCATTGACAGGGAACAACGTAAAACAGATCTTCATGGTGTTCTGCGTCCAACAGTACAAAGAAATCTTGCTGAGCTCGAGTCCCTTGAAATTGATATTTTTCTGCGTATTTTTTTACCTCGTTGTACAACAGGATACTATAGTAACGCTCTGATCTTCGCATGTTATCGAGGTGAATCATGGTGAGACCTCTGCTATATCCCGTCCTGCCATTGGGGGGTGGATCACCTATCTTTGTTCCCGGATGCTCCTCTCTGTATTTTTCAAAGTCCCTTCTGTAAACCGGCTCTTGCACCAAAGCTAAACCAAAGAGAGTTGTGTTTCTAAAGTTGTCGAAATGATCAAATAGCTGCTTGATGTCAGTGTAAAAAAAGAAGTCTACATCTAACAAAATGACCCTGGACACATCTCCAGGAAGAATAAGATTCATGAAAATGGGAAGATAGAAAAGAGCTTCTCTCGTATTATTGCGACCGCCAACTTCAATAGCGTCCTGAAAAATAAAGATAAAAACAAACAAACCAAACTGGCATTCAGAAATTAAAGAAACCGAAGTCAAATAGGACAAATAACGTAAACGGGCGACTGGAACAGAGCAGCTAAAATTGAAGTTGTTTCTCCCCTGTTTCTGACCACAACAAAATTAACGCAAAATTTAGGCAATAATTGCTAATTCTGTATTCCGATTCGCGTAAATATGATAAAATCTTGAAAGAAAAACTCCGTCAGAGTTTGCACACATGGTCAGAGATGGGGCGACATGGCTGATCATGTCAATTTTGATCAAACATGTGCACATATGTCCAAGCATATGCTTTTAGTTTTTGTGAACGTTTAAGCTTTAGATAAAGTCACAAACAGAAATCAAATCCCTCCCTTTTCCGATCCGCACCCGCAACGTACGGAGATTTATAAAGCCAGTCTCATACCCAGGCTTCTTCGTTTGATAGAATTTTGAGCGTTTAAAACTCATACATTAACTATCCGAAAACGATCGCCGGAGTCGTGTGGACGTAGAAAAATCGCACGCGTTCACAAACGTCAAGGGGTATGTGTGTGGACACATGGCTTTACAATTAAAGAGAGCAAGAAAATCTATGATGTTTTGCAGTGAATTCAATACTCCATGAATACCCAACGTACACACAATTGATTCTAATATCCGAGATGTAAAGGTGCATATCTAGGTGTTATAAAGATCAATGACTACTACACAATGAAAATAATAACTCATCGTCTCACATAAAGTTTACTCACCTGAATCACGTTTATAGATGGTAAAACTTTTTCTAACACTTCATCAACATCGTAGAATTTAACACTGAAGCCATTCACGCAATTAGCAGCTAGTACTTCAAGAATTTTCGACGACTGGCTTTTACCAAAAGAATTAGCAAAGATGTGAACTGTGAGACCAATACTGGAGTGTTTACAAATGGATGCTATGCAGTGTTTGAATCTATAAGCGTAAAGATATCCATTGTTGGCCGCTTTCAGCTGCATGACAAAGGCGATGTTATTGACTTTCAGTTCTCTCTCAAGTCTTGCTTGGTCGACAAAAACTGGCCCCGCGGCAAAATATAAAAACCCCGCAAGAAAAGTCATACTCAACACTGAAATGTACGACCGACTTCGCTTTCTTTTCCAACTGTAAGCTACCCTCATCAGAGCCACAAAAAAATCCATTTGGATCGTCAATAGTCACTCTGTATGAGCAATCGATTCTTGCATAAAAAAGCTATAGATTTTTTTCATTTTGCATCTAATTATGATAGATACGGATTATCGACCAAGCGTGGGGTTTTTTTGTTTTGTTTTCTTCGTCTTTCTATGTAAACAATATTTTGCCTCGACATTGGCTCTAAGACCATAATGACATACTCATCAAAAGGGCTCATGTCGTTGACAAATGATTATTGTTATAATTTGTTCATCTCAATCGTGTAAAAGACCACATTAAATGGTAACGAAACAAAGTTACCCATGAATGAATGTTACCGGAGGTCCCTAAATACGCAACAAGCTTTGTTCAATAAACGAATTATTATATGGCATAAAGAACACAATTTTCCCGCAGAAAACAGCGGTTAATCTCGAGCGCCAATCGCAGCACAGGTAACAATCTTTCACCAACCTTTTTTCACTCTTTTAGAGTAGGTTGTTATTTTGCTTATGATCAAAATGTGACCCTACAATACTATTAACTTGGTCGGCAATTAATAAACTTTCGACGAATGATTTCAGTTTCAACTCGGCCCTCAATATCAAAGAGATCGATCCAAATTCAACGCAATCACTGATTGAGTTTCAATCCATTGAAACATAGTTGAGAATAGACCTCTTTAGCTTGGGCAGTTTGTTTTCCCATTACAGACCATGTCATATTCTCTAGAGAATTATTCTTTTATCCATCTAAAAATTATTCATTCATATACACATTACTGTTTGAAAATTTAAAAGGAAGAATTCTCAAGAGTATCACTCATATGGTCTGAAATGGGGCAACAAACCGCTCAAGGTATATTGGTTCACATATTACCTGTAGTTGACAAATGCCGTTGTTTTGTTTCGTTATTCTTTTGTGTTTATTGTTGTTCAGTGCTGTTGTTGTTGTTGTTGTTGTTGTTGTTGTAGTTTTGTTTCGTTTTCTTTCTTAACCTGATAGCTAAGATCTGATGAATTGAACTTTCTTTTTTGCTCATCAGGCAGCTGAACAATTGTCAAAAATTTATTTTACAATAACTGTCTAATTTCTCGCCCGCTGATTGGCTCATTTTTATCATCAATAAGAGTATAGACGGATAAAATTTTAATTTATGCAAGCTTTCAAGTTCAACTTTCAGCTGTCAAACTGTCAACTTTTTAACCATGAGTTTTTATGGACTTTTTTAAGCAGCCAATCAAAGAGCGAGAAAAGCTATTGACAATGTTCGCGTCATTTTGAATAAAGTTCACGTATCTTTGTTAACGGCAAGTTTACGCGTCTTTTCCACTCATTCATTAACGGCATTTGACCAGTTTGGGGTCTTGATATTGTAAAAAACAAATTGACATCATTTTTTTATGCGTCTGTCTTCTTATTGATGATAAATTTCGTCATGACTGTCAAAGTTTACTGCGGAACCACTCGCCTGCGGCTCGTGGTTCCACAGCCACTTTGACAATGTTATGACGTAATTTATCATCAATAAGAGGACAGACGCATAAAAAACTGACGTCAATTTGTTAAACTGATAACACAGCGCATCAAGATGAAGATCTTCTCGTAAGCTATTTCAAACTGTTATGGGTACAATAAGGTAAGTTCTACAAAGAAGGCTATTCAAATTTCATATCGTGAAAACATTAAAGTCTTATTCATTTACTTCTTCCAATGTAAAGCTATCCTAAGAGGTACCATAAAATCGACAACTGTGAAAAAATTGAAACAGAACAGGTTAAATTGAATTAATCCGCCATTTCTCCCCCCCNCTCCCTCCCCCCGCCACCGCCTCTCTCCACCCACACTGCAGCTCTTCTTTAAAACAAAATGCATTTTTACCGGTCCTAATAAGAATGCGTACATACGTTTACCATTTTGTGCAGGTCTGCCGACCAAAGTGCAAAGGCAACTATTTTTAATGAAAAAAATTTCGTTTTAGAGGATTTGAGTAGAAAACAAAACTTTCGATCATTGGTTTCACAAGTTTTATGCAAGGGGAATAGAAATTATTCCTTGGCCTGTACGGAGATTTTGGGCTTCTATCTATGCGCTTCCAGATGTAGGCGGTATGTATTGTGTTGTATATCCTGATTGGTACGCTAATAGCACGGTACTTTAATTGCAAGGCAATTGCTCGATTTCTAATAACTGGCTGCTGGCGTGTAATACAGAAACTGAAGATAATTTACAAAGAACTTTTGTTTTATTAGTGACTTTTCTGGACCATTTATTTATTTAAATGTACATAATAATAAGGTGAATTTTTTAAACCTGAGCTTTTTGTCTTTCCGTTTTACTAAGCAACTGTGAACTAACAAGTAGGAATGTTGATTCATCAAAATTGACAAACTCACTAAATTGTCAAAAGTGCGGAAACACAACTCTAAAATATATTCCGAAATTTGAAATTTTTACAACTTTTGTAGTGAAATTTTTACCTTCCTTCCATCAAAATTCTGCTTCATTTTGTTCTTTTAATCACAAAGTTTTATTCCGCAGGCATGCGTATGGTAATTCTCCTTGCAGAGTTTAGCAAAGGTTTCTTGAGGCAGTTTGGTTTCCTAGCAACAACTAAGAACAACAACACACTTTTCCACAAAATCTGTTTATTTGCAAAGTGCAATAACGACTGATTCTATTCCATCCGGTGGATCTTTACCAAGATTGATGTGAGTTTTTTTCTTTTAAATTCCGTGTTGAGATTGCTTTGTAATTATCAGCCGAGTTATTCAAAGCCCCATTAAGGTAACCCAGGATAAGCGAAATTTTGATTTGAGTTTTGTAACCTTGCGGTGAGGGTCATCTGTTTATTTTGTCTGGCCTTCAGTTCTGAATTTGAATAATCTCAAACTACACAAGACATATGCAGTGAAAAGCATTTTTGCACAAGAATTATGAGATTAATATTTTGGTTAACTCTTGATTCTTGGTAAGCGTTAACCGGATTTCGAACAACGCGAACTAACGCGGTCCAAAATGCAAAATCCCTTTAAATGCGCGAAGTTCAACGGCGAGTTGTTCTTATTTGTAGCTTCGTCGATACAAACTATATTCTAGCGTCGCTTGAGGGGATGCGAGCGGTGAAAAAGATGTCAGCAGAAATTTATTTGGTCCTTGACCACTTATATTTTTAACCGTTTGTCTGCAGCTGTTCTGACGGCATGGATATCAAAGCCGAAACAGAACGTTGGAGTAAAACCTTTTGGCCATTTCTTTTCTTGTTTAGGTTTATTTCAGATACTCAGTTAAACTCCTTCGCTGAAGGTTAATACTTCAACAAAAATCCTATGGCTAGTTTGTTCTTGTAAGAACTGTACCTTGTTCGTTATATACAGCATTTGGCATGTTGAGTCAGTTCTCTCAAAAGAAGTCTCGTTCCCAGAGCCCGCACGTTTTCGATTAGCGGTCACCGAACCTGCAACGCTCTGAATGAAATCATAAACCACCGAACCCGGCCAGACAGTCCAGGCTTTAATCAGCCCTAAAAAGATAACACTAACTGAAATGACATTTTTTTGCAATTTCTTCGAGTGCCACCCTAAAAGATCCGTTGAAGGCTAAAAATAGTACGTGCTATTCACCTGTGAGCCAGCCAGTCAGAATGCGCGAAAGCACTATTCACTTGTGAAATGTATACTAATTCAAATTAAACTACTGTAGAAAACTCAATGAATTGCCGTCACGTAAAACCCGATGCCAGAATTTAGTGTTCAATAAATACACAAACAGTGTGGCATCAGTACGAATCATGTCTCACTTATCTCACGGCAAAATGTTGATTGCAATTACAAAACTACGCAGTACTACAGTCATTTTTGCCTTGTTTGAAAAGAATGTCGTACTTTTAATTCGTTGTCTAGGAATGGGATGCCGAGCTCATCGAATCTTCTGTCCACGCCTGGTCAACATCCTTCTCCTTGGAGTTGCCATAACAACATTGCATATCACGTGGAGATTATATTATTTGGGTACGAACGTGAAACCCATATGTGGAGTTAAAGAAACTATCATAAGGGATTTCCACAAACAGTGGTGTAGAATGCATAGATGGCGCGTAGACTGGGAAACAATGGCCAAGCCTTGCGAGGGTCAAGTAGCCTGGAACCAAAGACAAGTTAACTCGGACAGGAGGACTGATGCGAGGAGAAGTTTTATTAAAGGTTGGGAGATACTGCCAGCAGGTAAGTAAAGAGAATGAAATATCTCATACCTGCTCTGCAGCCTAAAAATAGACCGGGCTGTAAAAATGCTGCGACATAGGCTTACTATGAGAGTTGCATGCTCCTAGTGATGGGTTCCTGATGCTGGACAAGTATGCCAATAGCTGCAACCAGCTAACCTATAGCTAACAACTCAAAATATGCATTGCTGTCGGAATATATTTTAAAACACGTATCTACAATTTATTTATTAGGTCACTTCAGTCGTTTCTATATTCAATCCGTCACAAAAAATGGTCGCATTAAAACCTCCGGTGGAGACGCTTGGCGAATCTACATCAGACAAGGCCCGGCATCACTCGCGCCGCAAGTATGGGACCACAACAATGGAATGTACGAAGTGGTGTTCTTGGTAATGGAGCCTGGTACCTACACTGCTCAGATAACACTGGATTTTACCCTGTGTGATGGTCTGCGAGAACCACCAGTGGATTGGTTCATCAGAGGTCTGGACACTATAAGATATATTTTTTACTCTCATAACTCGTGTCCCTCTTCACCCAAGAGAATGAAATAACCTAAGAAACGTTAGGGAAGGCGGAGGACAAATGATGGACTTTCTTCATCACATAGTCAGGGGAAATTAACAACTCTACTGGTAGCATCAGGATTGAAAACCGAAATTAAAATCAAAACTTAAACAAGACCAATACTTTACTCGGCTTGGTTTGTGTTGTTAGAGTGTTCCGTGTGAAAATTCATGAAAAGGACGGGGAAGAAAATTGTCGCCTTTCTTCCAAATGAACTCGTTGAGAAACACAACTATGTTTGGGTGGAATACAGGTCATCAGTTAGAATTCGGAACGCTTTTAATACGCCTGGAAATTAACAGATTGTGCTTACTGAATAGGAACAATCCAAGGCAAATATCAGCCTGACGGAATCTTGGGATACATCGGTGATGACTCTATCTTGGAATCTCTTGGAGGGCAATCGACCTTCACTTTCTCAGTACAACAAAATGGAGACCTCATCACTGATGCTTCTTTGACACAATCTTCTCTAGGTACGGCTGCTAAACAGTTAAAGTTGGAATGTTTTGTTGTTGTTTTTTTTTTATTTGGTATATAATACAGATGTATTCATTGTTGAAGATGAAAAGGTTAATGGTGAGCAGATAAGTAGATAGACAGAGACATTGAAACACACCTTTGACTAAACTAAACTTTATTTCTTCACCTTATGGTAGATTTTCTGCGAAATATTAAGTTATTTCTGTGTTAACATTAATAATAGGCCAACTTCAACACAGTTTGCACTTTTCAAATTTGCATCTAATGATTCCCATGCAGCGAACACAGCAATGAATTGTGGTGTTTCGTGCAACCTTCTACAGAATGGATTTGGTAGATGGATCAGCGGTGTTTGGCGGCCTTATGCACAGGGTAAGATATTACTTCTCATTTTAACAACAAGCCTTGAAGGACACAAGATAATTTTTTGCAGGCTTCGTCTAGGGCCATAAATGTGGTTAAAGTCGACTCGTTTTAAACAGTTACTGATATTAATATTGATGAGAATCCAGTTAATACATAGTTGAGGTAATCATGAATCAACACAAATAAACACAAATAATTAATTATGTTTCAAGCTACAAGCCTGCAGAATTTAACAAAGTACAGCTCTTTTAAGTTGCAAGGCTTCCTCTCCAACCTTCCCTTCTCCCCTCCCCTCACTTTCACTTCCCTCAATCAGTCTCTACTCCACAACACTCAAACCCCGTCTGACCCATAGACATATCTTTTTTTTCTTTTTTTGCCTTTATTTATTTAATTACAATTCTTTTTTCAACAGTTAAGTTACAGAAGAATGAATAAAGTTTGGTTTACAGAAGTTTTTAAACAATGACACCATGACATATCTTGTTAGAGTGGTTGTCAATAAATCAATACCTGTCAAAAACTCGTTTCAGAGAATGTTTCCTTTCCTTTTTTAATCAGGTTCCAATTCAACGATAGTTGAAGGGAGGCAAGTTGCACCGGCAGATACACTGTGGATTTATGGTGATTCTGTCTCTCAACGTTTCTTAAAATCACTTCAATCGCGAGGAATATGTAAAAAGCACTTTCAAAAGTGCACAAGCTCTTATATGTGGGTATACGAGGTATGGTTATATGCATATCTGTTAGTACTGTCTTAACTTATCTCTTTTGTCCATAACGAGAAACTTGCAGAAGATTGGACAGCCAATGAGAAGACCAACAGGTTATTTTCAATCAACCAATTTTCGAAACATTTAATTGGTTTATCATTATGGAGCTAAAACATCTCTTAGTATTTTATTATCTCACTTTTCCGTTTAGCTTTCCTCGCTTTTCCTCGATTTTAAGTTGAAGTTTGGATGGGGTGCCAATAGGGTTTTCCTGCACATTCTCTCCTCAACTTCCAGATTTCAAACTTTCCAAAGCTCCACAACTGTTTCTGTAATTCGACAGAAACACGTAGAAAATGAAATAAAGGAATCTTCTCCCAGTCTGAGTGGAAAATGTCTTTGTTAAAACTCTGTCATATTTCTTCATAGCTGTTGTTCTGCTCAATATTTTTCTTTTACTTGCAAAGGGAAAAAGAAACAATTTTGAGCAGACTAAACATCTTTCTTTTCGTTAACTTCCCAGCTGACAAGCGAACAAGAAGCAAAAACAAAGTTTGAGCCAAACGACTTCAACGAGACCATTGTCCTCCAACACATGGCTGACATTCTTGACTCTCCGGATATGACGACCCACAACAGTGTATTTCTCTTCAACCTCGGAGTCCATTTCTCCATATCGCTAAATTTTACAACCTACAGACGCCTCATAGATAATATTGTGAAACTTTTAAAGAGCAAGACTATTGAGAAGAACGGAGACATGGCAATTCCTATTTGGAAAACAACAACGTCCATAGAAAAAGAGAATGTTCATAAAATGTATGCAGAACTTCCTACAAACTTAACTCACTGGAGATTCCATACTCATCAGGTATAATAATGATATAAGGCATCCCATAAAATTAGAATGCAATAGAGTGTTTATCGGTCTGATAGTTCCTCCTTCTAACTTTGATGTTCTTAAAACTAGCGTATTTGCCCTCGAGGCTTCTTCTTGGGCAAATATTTGTTTCGAGAACATCAAATTTCAGCGGGGTAGCTATCAGCCGATAGTTCCTCCACAGAAACACTCTATTGTTTATACGGTGTCCATGCACAGCGTTACTAATGTCTTCATTGTTCACCACGCTAAATGTTTTCCCGCTCTAGTTCAAAAATCATATTAAATTACTTTCAGCTTTTTTAGATGAAAGGCGTGAAATCGCAATGCAAAATTTGAAAAGGAAAACGGCAGACAAAACCCACTGAACGCGGATCAATCAAATATTTATTCATGCGCACAGCCTGAATTTGGGTACAGCGTGAAAACTTTTCACGGACGAGTACTATTCATGCGGGTATTTTTCTCGGACGGACACTATGGGTAGATAGTGTCTCTCCACCGATGAATACTATTGCGTCCGGAAACCAATTAAAACCAATAAGAATCGGAGAAAATTGAGTGGTGAACTATAAGCAGCTTTATACTTTACACTAGAAACAGCAAAGCTGTTGACGGTTCTGTTTACTTTTCATGGAATCACGGAAGAAATCTTTAAAACCAAATACTAACCTTTCCTGTTGTTCCACTCCCTTAGAGACTGGAGTTGTTCCATAAGTATGCAGTCAGTGCTATGTGTAAAGCTCGTATCCCTGTGCTGGACGTGTATCCCATGACCGCCTCATATCCTAACGGTACATTAGATCACGTGCATTATAGTGATAATGTACAAAGAGCGGCCGAAGATCAACTCATAACATTCATCTCCGATGAACTAAAGAGAAGAAAGCGGGAAAAAAATTAAGAGCAGCTGGCGAGTGAGCTGCAATGGATTACACATCTGGAAGAAATACATCTCGAAGAAATTCTGTGAAAGTTAATAGAGCAAAGTTACTTACAATAACGTAATCTGTTGAATCACACGTTCTTGAACAAAATGGCTGTGACCATTGCAAGTATGCAATAGGTTTATGACCTATTTTGCCCAGGTTTTTCGTCTGTGATGCCCTTTTGATTTTGTACTTTCATACTATTCTATAAATTTTGGTTGACCTTATTTTGAATATACAATAAATATCTTATTAACCGAGATTGTCCGGTCTTGACCTTGACCTTGACTCAAAGAGCTGGAAAGATTCACCGTTCATACTAACCAAACTGGGTTATAAGAACATGAGAGCTATAAATACGATGGCCAAGTCCGTAGATTTCCCAAGAAGGTTTCCCTGTTTAACCGAACACGCAACGTTTGTCATGGACACAAACAAAATGCTTCCAAGCCTGTTCCAAAAGAGACTTCCTGTATTCTTCAGAAAAATATTCTTTCCCATCGTTCTCTTTGTTCGCCGAGACTCCATGACCACCACGCAGGACCACACTTTTTATCTCGAGCAGCTGGCTACATCTGTTACAGTTCGTATTATCATATTATGTATTATAACCCCTCACTTCTTTTATCATTCTTTTCATTCGTTTTCTTTTTATTATTTTATTGACTTTTTTTCCTAACTTTCTATTTTTCTATTTATTGGTAAAAAACAACATTTGTAACTATTGATAGACTGGCCCGGCCAGATTAGCACAAGTATCCGCGGGCCAGTCCAACTGTAATGTGTAAATTAAGAAAAAAAATTATTGATTGATTGATTGATTGATTAATTAATTAATTGATTGATTGTATTACCATAGTCCAGTAAGGTCCCTAAACTCTCTTATCCCACCACCCTTTTTAAGGAAGGAAGGCAAGAGTCCGAGGATTGTATTAACATTTGCAGCATTGAAACGTCATCACTAGTTGTGTATATTCCCCAACTTGTATTCTAATTTGTTAGGATTCCTGCCGCAACTGACAGAATTTCCAGCATGCTGTAAACGAGAGCTTACCTACTTCCGATTGGGCAACCATTTCCCTTTGCTCCCAAACCAGAGCACATGATCGGGAACATAATGAACATCGATGTTAAAAAAGGACAGTTGACACTTGAGCCTAGCCCCAAAAGAAAATGTCAACTGTGAAACATGATTACATGCTTGGGGTGGTTTAAAAACGTCGACTTAAGATTTTGTGATGGAATTCAATACAGGGGTATGACCAGGTAAGTGATATGTTAATTCCACATTGCCCAAAGGCGGATAAAATGTGAACCCACACGAGGATCGACCATAATCGTTACCTAGTCGATTTGCTGTGATGGATTTGATCAACCCCGTCTATTTGTTATTACAATAAACTAAAGCGAAAACCTCTCCCAAAATTACAGCATTCTTATTTTTTCCAAACAATCACTAAGATACTATACAAACGAAACATAACGAACAAACTGCAAACGTAAAACTGGTTCGGGGTTAAAAACTTTTATTCTTTTAGCGGGTCGATTTTGGCGGTTTGATTCTGTTACAAAACAAGAAGATAAGTTTGTTTAACAGCTAAAAGTCACGTGTCTATGGACTGAGATGTTACGGGTCACCGTTTCTCATTGGGCTCAACAATTCGGAACTGCTGTTACCCGTATCACCAGCTATTGCCAATCTACCGCGTCTTTAACGTATTTTTCTCCACCAGTACTTTGCTATGCAACACTCACAAAGTTAGTTAAGAAATGATCAAAAATCATTGATGTGATCTTCCCTTAATGTTCACGACAATCTTTACTCTCAGTGCCTGCGTACAGGACAATCTATTGATATGGCACAAAAAAGTTAGTTCGAAATTAAGGAGTTGAACTTTGCACGAAAACCAGAAATGGTGTAGTTGAGTAAATCACTCCTTTGTCCTAAAAGAAAAAGTTACCCAGTTTTCTTCACAACATAGATTTTCTAATGTCGCCTTCTGGTCCTTTGACAATGATTTTCTGCCCGGCTAAGAAGCCGTTTCTTTGTTTATCCCGGCGTATTTGCCTTTCGTAAATTTTTAAGAGGGGAAATAGAGTTTATGGTCTCCTTTTACGGTTGTTAGGTTACGAGCTATTAATTTTTAAGAATTTCTTTATGAAAAATTCACGAGACAAATTTGTTCTTGATCATTTGTCATCAAGGACTCTGAAATTTATGAATTTCCTCTTGGTTAAGTCGTGCTAAAAAGCGATTTACGGACATTGACAAATATCAGAATGCCTCCCTTTGCCATTTAAGGTAACGATATTCACATTTCTTGAGCCGGTCCCTTCGAAAACAAAACAGTTACAGACGTTTTTGTTTTCATTGTTTTTGTTTTACCGGAACCAGCCAGATCTCTCTTGGCCTAAAGTGGTACGAGTTACATCATTCGTTTTTAGGTGGTAGACTAAGTTTTCCTTCAATATCCTTCCTCAGCTACTGATGTTTGTGTTTTTGTTTTTTCTGGGGCAAATGTTAGTGAACCGAGATTTGCCTGGACCGTTCCAAGCCGTAAGAAGAGAAATATCAAAGTTTGTTGGGGCAAACACAGTTCAACATGTGGGTCATTGTTTTTCTCTTGGCAAATGTGATATGGAACAAAGTGGATGGCAGGTACATCAACAAAATCGACAAAGGTAATTAAGCAGTAGATGTGAAAATGAAATATGTCCTACTGAAATGCGTTTATTAAAGAAGTAATTTCTTGTGTTTAGGTCAACTACCTTTATGAAGTGCTCAAAGTGGGAAAGATGGAATCAGAATCGAAGATTTAATAATGGCCGGCATATTTTACTATATCTCTATATTTTAGTGGGAGTTCATTTCACAGTAGAATCCGCTTCATGCTGGTATATTTTGGTGCCTGTACCTTGGTCTACAGAAAGAAATCCTTTTGAAATGCATTTAAACTGTAGATTGTCAGTCACATTTTCGTAATGAGCATTATTTGTTTTGCTATTTTACTGAACTAACTTTAAGTGAAATGGTCTGCCGTTGCTAAAATGGCGTAAAAAGAGCGAATTTAAATATAAACTGCGAAAAAGAGTATTGTAGAGAAAGGGCGAGTGCAGGTCTGTTGCGTTTGCAATATTCCAGGTTCGTTCGGTATCTCTCGCAACGTTTTTCTGTTGCTATGGTCTATTAGTCCAACGTATTCAATGTATTTTTTTGGCCTTGGCTCATGGACTATAATACGTTATCAGTTCGATAAATTCCGTTCAAGCTACTTCAATCTTATTACGTGCAATTTTACTTTTAAGGGCAAGCGACAACTGAAGAAGATAAAGAGTTTGCAAAATTAGAAAAAAGACAGCAAATAACGGGAGAACTTGAAGTCAATGGCCAAAGTAGGTGAACCTAAATGTTATCTCTACTATTACAATTTGTATTATACAATACCTAATTCAGCTGGTACATAAATGAATCTAGGTAAGACAGCACGGCTAATTGAGCACCTCCTCACACAAGACGTAGAAGATACAAATTCGTTAACATGAATGCTGTGAGCTGCATCCTAGACAACAAATGACCGCTCGCTAATAATGGAAACCATATTACACGCAGAACTGGATTGATTTTAGAGTACATATTTTTACGGTCCCTTGATATAAAGAATAATCAATCAAGTTCTTGGCTACAATAAACTTAACTTACCCAATAAAACAGTCAGAACTGAACGAAAAACCATGCAAACTATCTTAAAGCGTGCGAACACGCCTCTGAGACTTATAACTCTCGGTTCGGTTGATTAGATTGCTAATTACACGTTTTCTCTGATTGGGTAGACAGGTTACTTAACCTTTTTTAAACCATTTGAGGGCTGAGCAAACGTAACGGCATTGTAACCTCGTAACTGCTTTCATCTATAATCTAGAACCTCTAAGAAATAATACTTAAGGATTTATAAAAAACCTCCCTCCACAGGGTTTGAAAGCCTGGGTTGTTGGCGAGATGCATGGGCACGAGGCCTTCCATCCTTAGAAGGAGATCACTACTTGTTGATGGATCCTAATTATAAAGGAAGGAGTCACGCTCTTTTTAAGTGCGCACGAGCAGCAGGGGATAAGGGACTCAAGGTATTTGGCATCGAAAATGGAGGCCAGTGTTTTGCCAGTGCTGATGGAGAGAAACGCTATCGCAAGTATGGACCTTCTAAGGACTGTAAAGGTATGTGCAACGAAATAAATAACAAAGTAACAGTTGCTAAGGGTGGCACCATGGTAAAAAGGACCATATATAATACCTAAGGTGCATTTCTATCCAGATAGAATCGTATTGTTGTTTATATTTCCTGTAATGCGCGGAAACAAAATGGAACAAGAACTGACACATCTCAAATCACGAGTAACTCTGGGTGCGAGGCACGAAACTACGACATTTTCATGACAGCTCTATCCCCAATCACCGCTTCCCTTACTAATAACTACTAGAAGTTTTCAATTGGCTGTCGAAAGCAATCATATGTGCGCTTATGTTTTCAGTTTTTCTGTTTTATAACTATGTGAAGGAACTCTTTCTACCTTACTTCTCTCTTTTATTTTTGTCAGGTGACGGTAAAGGTGGTCCCTGGAGTATACAAGTGTATCGGTAAAACGTCCTGCGAGACAACTCTTTCATGCTTGAACAAAATACTGAATATTAAGCAACACAAATTTTCATAAACAACCTATATTTTAGGACATTTGTTGCATGGTTTTTAATCAATGCTGGTAACGTCAGACAGTGTGATTTTAAACCTGCGATAATCTACCTTTCTTTGAGTTCCAGTATTTACCTAAACGCTATTAATGTTGATTACTCCTGGGAACTATATATAGGGATAAACACATTATGTTAAAATCTCAAACTCACTTTATATTTACAGTTTTGTGGAACCGGAAAAAACTATAAACGGTGATTACAGTGAGTGGTCTCCATGGACTCAATGCAGTAAAACATGCAGTGGAGGTGTTAGAAGGCGAATGCGAAAATGTTCAAATCCACCTCCTTCCAATGGTGGAAGAGATTGTAGAAGCCTGGGCCCCAGTGTAGAGAGTCAAGATTGCAACGTCAAATTATGTAGTGGTAAGAACCAGCATAATCAGTTATATAGAAGCAGAATTGCAAATTACTAAAGTATGAACGACACCTTGAAGTAATTGTAAGCAGTATGTTACGTGTTGAACATGGTCAATAGACGCGAACGACAGGAAATGAAGAGCCGCCTGAGATAACATACTCGTCGTTTCTCCGAGTCCATTATAGAAAAGGGACAAAAATATCTTGTGCATATCCAGTCGACAACTCAGTATTGATGATTAAATATATGTCAACGCGCGTTTTTGAAAAACGGAATAGCGAA